GGAGGGAAGAGGAGAGAAAGAATACTGGAGATGGTGGCGATGGTTACCTAAGTTGGTGGTGTGGTGGTGGTGTCGGTAGTGGCGAGATCGTTGATATGAGAGAGTTAAGGGAGGGAAATAAACAGAGGCTGTCTGTGGGATGGGTGAGGGACAATTAGAGTCATTACGTGGGGTGGGGGGGGGAGAGAGTGATTGACAAATGATGGGAGGATTACAAGTGTGATTGATGGGTTAATGAGGGGGAAAGAGAAAATGTTGGGCGGAGAAAAAAATTGAATTGAGTGATTGTGTATTGTTAGATCGTTTTTGTGTTAATTTGAACCGTCTTTGTGACTTATGAGAGTATATTTTCAAATTGGAAGGTGTAATATTAGATAGATATATTTATGTCTAAAAACATTACATAATACAAAAAAATCACTAATTAAAAAAATGGGATGATTGATTACTTTATTGATGATTGGATTGTGGGCTCAACTGTGTTAAATTTTTGGGTTAAAGTGTCCCCGGTCGAGCCTTTTTTGCAATGGATGGGCATATTTTGAAAGAAAGGAATTGCAAAGTCAAGTGAATTGACAAATTATGGGCAATGTAAGATGTAGGTTGAATTTAGAATAATAAACAATGCAATTAGTGACAATCATCAACAAAAAGTAACATATAATTTATAGTTGTGAAGTGCTAAATAAAAAACCCTCTCTTTCATGTTTTCAATAGTAGAATTTAGGTTGGTAGTAGGGCCAGTTGCTTCCATGGAATCATGTCCTCTCTTCTTCTTGGCTGGTCCGTTACTCTCCAACACAACGTTGTGTCATTTTGACGCAACGAATGCGTCCTTGATCTGTGGTTGTGCTGCGGTAGAGTGGATTAGCATTTGTATTCTGGATGTAGTTACTGAAGACTATAGAAGAATTTAGGTTATATTAAATCAAAAAAATATCAATGACAAACTAATTGCATTTTGGTTATGACAGGGACGCCTAATGTTATGTACTATTTAACAAAAGATGGAGGACACATAGGCTACTCACTTTTCAATCGAACCTTCCTATACTACAAAGTTGAGTAACATTTCAATCAAAACTTCCAGCTTTAATACATAGCTAATTTTCTCTTACAAAGCCCTTCATTTTCTTTGACAATATCATTGCATATTCATCAAACCATGTTTTGCCTCATCACATTATCAGCATTCAAAAATTGGAAAGGACCTTAACATTTGATAGCTATCCTAGCAACTGCAGTTGAATAATAGGTCCTTTAATTTTTCAGTTTTCCATTAATTTGCGAAGAATATTGAAGGAAAACTAAGGTAAATAAAATTGCATTATATTTGTATTAGATTCAGTTCAGTACCACAACAAAAAAAATTCCAGTTAAGTTGTGTGCCAGGTTTGTATTTAGCTTTAAGTACTCATAATTAAAACCCTAACATTCGAAAGTTTATAACTTCCTTATATCTTCATGGTTTCCAACAACCAAATAGAGCATGTAACAGTAAGCAATGGACCTGCATAGTGAACTGAAAAACGAAACGATGAATATTGTTGGTAACATGAAAAACCAAAGGAATATCAATTTCAGACATCATTTTATAGCATACTTACCCAATTTGCAAACTTGTGAAGGGGAAAACAAACATGCCATTGACACTGCCTCCCCATCAATATCATGATTAATTCTTGAATTTAGAACTTAAAACACTGCCCATCAATTAATAATTCAAAAACTCAGTCATAAGCCTCCTTGTATGAACTTAAAAAAAACAGAACCTGATAACAACAATTCCCCCCAAATGGAATTGGAAATACAAGAATCCTGATTTTTAAATACTACGACAAATGGGTTACCTGAGGTACAGTCAGACAGCCTTAAACAGGTGTCATCGGCCAATGCTCTGACCATCTAAATTTAAAAAAAAATTACATTAAATCAGAAGCACTCAAAATCACACAAATAACCAAACGAAAAAAATGAAACAAGACCAACTAAAAAGTAACTCACATGATTTTTTTTGTTCTATTCGAAGAGTTTGCAAGTCCACACACCTCATTCCCAAGCACAGAAGATCAAAGTGTAATTCAACATAGTAGTAATAAAACCAAAGAAAAACAAAAAATTCAATAAAATCCTAATATAGTAGCAGAAAACATTTGGATGATCAAAATTAAAGGGCAATAATTGTTTAAAAGATTTTTTTTTGCAGTTTGGCAATAACACAGTCGGATTCTTGATACACTTTGAAATACCACTCATCACATAAGAAATAAAACAAAAGACCTCAACATGTGAAGGCAACCATAGCACTTATTAAAAAAATCAAGGATATTGAATCATATGTCATTCACATTGATAAACTAAAATATGTGCTTTGCAGAAATTCAATTCAAGAGGGTTTCTAAAATCGCTTATAAGCATAGGAAATCAAATCGAGTAATTAACAAAAAAGAGCTACTGATTTGTTATAGCGCATCAAGGAATCTTGGACGAACGACAATGTAAAGCCTACCAATAAACTTTGATTTAGTTAAGATCGATTAACTCCAGCATGAACCAAGCTCAGTAGCTCTTTCCTATGTATATGTGTGAGTCGGCAAGATAGGATCAAAATAGAAATTTAAAATACATTGTAATTGCCAATTAAAATGACGGAAGCTTTGACGTTTCAGAAGAAGCTTCAACTACCAACTAAGTAAATGTATGATAATGATAAAATTAAAAAAGCAAAATTTTAAGATTTGTACTACAACAAAAATTTACACTATGAAAAATGAAACCTTAAGATTAGAAAAGCAAAAGGTACCATGAATTTTAGAAATTAGAGCTTCAAAAATGAAACGTTTTGCAAGTAGAGTAGGAGCACAAATTTGAAAAAAAATGGGAAGATCAAATGCTCTAAGCAAAAATCAAATCAACATAAATCCATCATTTCGGTATTTAGGAAATATCAACCTCATCAAAAGCTATGCAACGTAGTCCACAGTCAGCACAACCAAAATTAGAAGTACGACACTTGTAGGTTGAAAAATTGAGAACTTCCCAACAATTAAATAGCAGCACAATTGCAGCTAGTTTGAACCTCCTACCTAGTAAACAAAATTTGTAGGCTGGTTACAACAAACCTAAAAGAAAAAAAACAATGCGACAACTAACTAATTAATAATCTTTTAGAATAATGAAAAAAGAAGATTATTGCTAGGCTTACTTATAATTAAATTCTGAGGTGACTTATAACAAAGAAACCCTTAGATTAATTTGTACATATCATCGTGTCTTTATCTGGAACAAAAGAATGAGAAAAGACTTGAACAAAAAAATGAGATTGAATACAAAAGAATGAGCTTGAACACAAAATTTAATTGATGCAATGGAACAAATTATACAAACCATCAAATACTTATGGAGGTGGTGTGTTATGGGTTTGATTTTGTAAAATAACGTGTATTTTCTTTGAAACAAACAATTAAGTAGATGGTGTGTGTAATGGGCAAGGATCAAAATATCATATCGAAACGTCCGAAACATTTCAGATTTTCAACACACTAACATGAAACATAGGTAGAAACAAAAAAATTCCTGAGTTTCGAGCGAAACGTCAATATATTAGACCGTTTCGATCGAAACGATGATGTTTCGTCGAAACATTCAATTGGTATCAAAAAATTGCAGGTACACTCCAAAAAGGGGATGGATTCTTCCCCGGTAAAGAGCTCATAAAATCGTCTTTCCAAGCTTATAAAATTGTTGTTCAGCATAAAAGAAAGAGAGCGACAGCGATGGAGAGACAGAGAGGTAAAGAGCAAGAAAAAATAGAAAGGAGAAGAGTTTAGCAACTTTACTCCCTAAGTCTAGATCTGAGCAGATCTAAGTCACCCTCCACTCTCACGGTCTAGATCCAGCCTCTTCTAAGTATGAGCTTTTTCCTTTCTATTCTTTTTATTCTCTCTTTCTTCGTTCTTCTCTGTTGAGTCTTTATCGAGTTTGTTTCTCGTTTGATCTGCAAATCTGGGATGAGATGGGTGTTCCTTGGTCTCTCTCTCTCTCTCTCTCTCGTAAGTTTGCATCTCAGACTCATCATCTGTTCTCTCCTCCCTTCTCTCTCATGCGTTTTGTTGAGATGAGCGTCTGTTTTAAACCCTTGCCCCCTCAATTTTTTTTCTTTTATCTTGGTATTTTATTTTTGTTATACTTTCTTTTTTTATAATTAAGTTAATGCCCTTCCCCCCCTTTTTTTTCTTTTATCATTGTTAATAAACCTTGTTATAATTTTCATTTTCATTTTTTTCTTCCTTTTTCTTTTATTCTTGTATATTATTATTATTATTATTATTATTATTATTATTATTTGTGTTTGTTAAATAGCTGCAATTAATATTATGGTATATACCTTTTTTATTAAATATATGAAATTCAGTATTTATGTGTGTCAAAATGTGTTTGCTTGATGAAAATTAAGTATTTGAAACTGGTTGAAGTGATTTCCGCCTTGCCTTTTTTTTTCCTCCAATTTGATGTTATCTTGTATAAATGGATGTTAACCTAATAAACATACTCAATTAATCAATTATTAAGCTTATCTTTATAAATAAATGAATTGTATGTGTTTAGGCGTTTTCACGTGTTTTCATATTTTTTTTCCGTTTCCATTACGTTTCTAAAACGTTTTTGTTTTTGAGTTGACCGAAACGGTACTCCGAAACGATATTTTGATCCTTGGTTGTGTGTGTGTTGGCAGAGTGTGTGTGTGGGTGTGTTTGTAATGTGAGGGGTTTCAGTGAAAAGAAAGAGCGTGTGTGCTATTCGACCAACACAAAGAGGGGAAGAAGATAATTTCTGGTGTTGTCTGTGTGGGTTTTAGAGAAGAGAGAGTGTTCTCTGAGAGGTTTTGGAGAAAGATCAACCTTACAAAGATTCATCGGAGAATAGAAGGACGCTGAGAGAGGGGGAGGAGAGAAGTGGGAGGGGGAGAGAGACGCTAGAGGAAGGAGGGGGTATATGTGTGTGTTCTTTGTGTAGGTGGGCGTAAGTTTGAGTGAAATCAGAGGGGTTGGGAGGTGGTTGTGCGCAGAGATGATGACAAAAGGAAGTGGGAGGAAGAGAACTACCTGTGAGCTCGGTGCTCTGGCATAGAGGTGGCGGCGCTGGTGCTATGCAGGTGGCGAGGCAGTTGGGATTCGAGAGATGGGTGAAGGGAAGAGAGAGAGAGAGAGCTGGGATACAGAGACGCATGAGGGAGTAGATACATAAGAGAGAGAGAGAGAGAGAGAGAGAGAGAGTGTCTGATTGATAGGTTAGGGGAGGGGTGCAGCCTTACATGTGTGATTGGCGGAGGAGGAAAGTGATAAGGCTGGGCAGGATTTTTGAGCGTTTTCGTGGGCGTGGAAATTTTTTGAAGATTGATTTTAGATGGTTGGAATTAACTTGAGTTAATAACGATTGTTCATGTGCTTAATGGGGATATATTTTTAACTTACATCCTCTTATTAGTTAGATGTTTTGGCTACCTGCAGGTTACTTAAGGTCTGTTCCTCTCGTAATGCTCGTCTACGAGTTGGTATTTCCCAAAAACCTTTAAATTTTGTAAACTATCACTACCATAGCCTACTTGGGTTGCCGGTCCACCTCCTTCCTTGACTCCAGTTCCAGCACCTTTCATGGGTTTCCATTCCATTCTTTGAATAGATCTCTAGCTTTTAGTGTGCAGATTTATTCCAAGTTCAGAATCTCAAGTTGGGCTTAGCCAATACACTCTACTAGATCCTGCCTGAGCATGGGTCTTTCACCAATGAATAGGCATTCATGCCTTAATAGGATTTCTTGTTTCTTCTTATTTATTATCATGTCTGTTACATGTGTATTTTAATATCTTTGTTATGTTTCTCATTCTTCTAGACAATTTTTCAGATAAATACCCAGATGGCAAATGGTGACAAGACATCCTTGAGGAAAGCAGTTACAGAGAATATGTACTCTGTATGTATTTGTTCTTTTGGTTGCTTCCTTGTCGGAATTTACTCTTTAATTTTCTGCTTTACTCTTGCTGGTTTACTTTGTCAATACTTCTATCATTCCTATAAAATGCAATCTAATTTCTGTAACCTAAATGTTTCTGAATTTCTAAGACAGGCTCTGAAGAACGAAATTAAGCAAAGAGAATCCATGTGGAGTATGGTTTACTGGGAACTAGTAGAACCAGTTGTTAAAATACGAACATTGCGAGCTCGACTGGCAAGTACCTTCTCTAAACACCATAGTCATTCAATATTTGTTAAATAATGGAATACGAGAATCAGGATGGATGAAAGCTTCCCACCATACGCAAGGTGTATACAAATGAACTAAAATGCAGTAGCAGGTGAGCTGCCATTTGTCGTGTGACCAATAAGGTCTCATTGGGTGAACTATGACCAATTTAAGATACATCATCAAATTGGGAACCTTTTCCCTTTTCTTTGTTGCTTGTATAAATGTCTGTTCCCTCTTATTTCTATATATATTAATTTGTTTTGACGGGAGGGGGTGGCCATTTTTTTTTTTCCAAATGATCTTACACAGAGGTACTTCAGAATTGGTGCTTGCTAACAAACAATGAGGTCAAGTGGAACTGCTGCATCTATGCATATATGTTTACTTGTACTCTTGTTTATTCTTGTCAACTTGCTGAATTAAAGGCCCGGAAGGAACTAGGGGAAAGCCTTCTAGCAACTCCCTAATATGCAGTTCTCCAAGTAACTCACTTTTAAGTTTGGCCTTATTTCCAGTAAATCTTAAAGATGCCCCGCTAATCAAAGCTTTGCAAGTTTTGTTTGTTTTCCCTCTCCGAAGCCATTAGCTTTCCATCCCTTTGTTTTCTTTTCTTTTTCTGGTTGTTTGAAAAGTGGGGGAGGGGGGAGGTGGGAAGGTGGGGAAGGAGCCTATCCTCAGTCTTGAGTCTTCTTTCTTCGAGTAGCCTGTCTTAAGGGCAGGGAAGGGAACATCTTGTTCAATAATGAGATTGCATGCTTGTTATGTATGCAACAGAGGGGCCAATCCATTTTCTTTTCGTCCTGCCGTTTAGTATTTCATTTTAAATGAGGATAATGAGTTACAGCTGTCTTAGCAAGTCACCTTGAGATCGCAAATATTGCCATTTCTGTACAATAGAATCATCACACATCTTCTTTCTTTTCAGATTGGCATAGATCAAAATGATCTCAGTAAAGTTTTCATACAGCTTACACTTGAATTTTTGACAAGACAGGTAACTGACTGCCCTTGGAATTCTCTTGTTTCCATTACTGTTGCAGTCAAATGTATTATTCGCCCCTTTCATGCTGTTGCAGTTATGATTACCTAGCCTGTTTGTGAATACATCGCTTGTGACCTGTCCCCATGGTACAGTTGAGTATCTTTGCTTACCATTAATCCGAGGCTTGCTGTCTGCAGCAGCCTTAGCCGCTGCCATGTGTCAAGCTTCCCTAGACTTCTGGCTTTTTATAATGAAGTAACCATGACTTGGGGGAAGAACATGCTGTGACGGCCATCCATAAAAGGTTGAAAATTTTGTGAATGAGGTGGAGCCCAATATAAATAATATTCCTAATGCATAAGCAATTTACTTTGTGTCTTTTTTTCTTCATTTTTTTTGTATCCCTTTTTTGAATTTCAATATCATGGCTTTTTTACTGTATGCATTGAAAAAATATACTCCGCATTAAAATGGAGGATCTGATTAAGTTGTAGAAGAGGGTGTAAGTGTGTACCCTACTGTGGAACAGTCTCTCTGTGATCTGCCACGTGTGACAAATCAAGGTTCCACTCTTCTTTTCTTTGACTCATTCCCCCAAGTTTCTCCCTCTAACTTTCAGTAACATGGCTTCTATAACTCATGAAAAGTGTGAAGACAACTTGTGTCACGTCCCAAAACCCCTCCTCCTTAGGGTATTGAACATGACCGACCATGGAGGTCTAACGTGGAACCAAATATGTTTTCACCATAAGCCACCATCTATGTGCTTCTTCCCTTAGTGTGAATGTAGCAAAAACAACTTTCTGTTTTTTAGTACATGGTAAAACTTCAAATATTTTCTCCATTTCCATTACCCAATTTTCAGCAACCATTGGATTTGGAGCACTCTCAATGCAGGCGGCTTTAACTTTTTAACTACTCTATAGTAGCATTTTCCTTCCTTGTTTCATGAGGTTCCACTACATTATTGTGTTGGGCTTCATTATTAAGCTGCATCACTTGAACCAAATCCTCAAGTGCCCAAACAGGTCTCCCTGAATTTCAACGGTATCGCTAGTTTCGACCATCTTTGGCTTACTACAATAGACAATCATTAGTATACAAACACTAAACAAGTGCATGCACATACACATAATACACGTTTAACACCTAATAAATATGTATTCATCTTAACAATTCTATACCCAAGGTTTCTAAACCTATTGTTCTGATACCACTCTCTCACGTCCCAAAACCCCTCCTCCTTAGGGTATTGAGCATGACCGACCATAGAGGTCTAATAAGGAATTGAATGTGTTATCACTTGTTTCTATTTCATAATTTTCCTAGTGGAAGCTTTTGTGATTACATCTGATCTACTTGTAATGTTACCATAATAATATATATCAATGCCCTATACAATCACACTTGGTTTGAGCAATCCTACCTATATCTCATTAACAACCAACGTTGTTGTTACAACTCATAACATATATCGGCCATTTATACAAAGTATGGCCTTTATATACCAAAAGTAACTTTCCAAAAAATTCATTCACAACTCCTATACATAACCACCAAAACGTAGTCTTAAATACATAAAACTTCCTCTCTTGAGCTTAGTCCCCTTCACCTAAAAAGGTTTTATGAAGAAAGAGTGAGTAATGCGCAGAGAATAATTCCTATTCCTTGTAATGGTTTTCAAGTAAAACCCAACATTTTCATGGATATCAATACTCATATCAAATAGCCTCATAACATTTTCATGATAAGTGTATGAGTATGATGCCAAAGATATAATCAGTCATATAAATATAATACGTCATCAAGCCATTCTTATCCTGAACTCTCCGGATTTAATTTTGCTGGCTTGGACCTTTACCAGATTTGAGTCCTCCGGCTGGAATCTATTATGGCATTGACATGTAATACATAGACATTTCCAAGTCAATTGATAATCCATAGCATCACAGTAGTGTAATCAACACATGATTTCTCAGATAAGCATATGAAAGCATTTAGAAAAGACTTGGGCATCAAAATTTCATTCCAAGGTATAGGATTACTCATCTTAGTTCTTAACCAAGCTTTATAACTCTTGGCTTCCTTTAACAAGGCCTACAACTTGTATCCCACATCGAATGATTACAACCACCTAAGGTTGATTTATATTCTTAAGGAACCCCTCCACTCATTGCCAATTGGTTTTGGTAGGATGCTCAAACATGATATCAGAGCTGAGCTTTGAGTGTGGTTAGTGTACCAAGTTTCTTACTCATTTGTATTTCTGGTATGCATATTTGCCTATTTGTTTGTTAACCTCACGTGCAAGCCCGGGTTCCATGTGAGGGATGTTATAAATAAAGAAAGCTTGTATTGCACATCAAACGATTATGTTGGTTTATACGGTTAGGGACCTCTCCACTCATTGTCAATTATTTTTGGATTGGATACTCTTAACAAAAAGAAGTGCTAAATGTTTTGAACGGTAAATTTAATCCCATATTTATATCATTAGTAGAGCGTCCATATATTATTAACCTTTGAAAGAAGTTAAGTAAGATGGAATGAGAACATTGTCAAAAGTATGACTATTTCACATTTGTCGATAAATAATATCTATTATCTGTAATGCACCTTGATGTGTTGTACACCTCCTCATTACTGCCTTCAATGAACTATTTCGGATTATCAAGTGTGAAATGTAGCTTTGACTATGAGAGCCAAGTCTTTCTGCAAATGATTTATTGATTAGTTCTGTTTTGCCCACACATTGTGTTGCGGGACAACACTGAGTGATGACCTTTTGTAGCACAACCGCCTTACTTGTCATAGTGCAATTTAGGGTGGAATGTATGTGAGGAGTGTAGTGAGTGTGAGGAGGAAAGCCTTGGAGAGTCCCTAATGATGAAAAATGGTCTATTTTTTTTGGAGAAAATGGATTCATCCTTTGTCCCTGTGAAAAAGGTAAAAAAAAAGGTGAAGATATGTGAGAAAAAATAAGGGTGTTGTAGGAATTTGCCATTAGGGATTGAATATGATGGGTTTACTTCGGGAAGGGGTGGGGGGGGGTGATGATAGTTTGTCCTGATTATTAATTAGAACGCAAGGGGTTTGGGATCTAGAAGCAAAAGAAGCTCTATGACTTCCACAACAACAATAGTTTGGTTGCAATGGTTACTTGATGATCTTGGTGTCTCTTTGTCAGATCTTGCCATAATATGTTGTGACAATATGAGTGCAATTCAGATCGCACATAATTCAGTGTTTCATGAGCGTACAAAACATATGAAGATTGATTATCATTTTGTGCGCTATCATCTTCAGCTGGGCATTATTTCTCCTCCCTACCTTCTACTATGCATCTGGTAGACTTCTTTACAAAGTCTCATACCATTATGCACTTCCGCTTTCATCTTCTAAAACTTCTGATGTTTTCTATTGCCACATCATTAGTTTGAGGGAGAATGTTCGAATATTTCAGTATTAGGGATAATTTAGTTATTTTTTAGAATTGTTTTGACCTCTTATAAAATGATTCTTTTTATCTTTTATTATGCTGTTGGGAGCAAACTATGAGCGATAATAATATTGCATATGTTTCTCTTCACTTTCTCTCTTTTTCAATTACTAGATCATGCACCGGGGGGACTTTTTGAGTTATAATTTTGTTTCAATTAAGATTTTAACTTGAAACAATCAAATAAATACAATAGCAAATACATACTTAGAAATCAAACAATATAAATATTCTTATTATATAATTTATGTAATTTGTAATAGAAGTACACACTACATTTTTAAGAATGAATATTGGTTTTTATTTTTTTATTAACTCTTAAAGTTTTGATTAATTACTTTATTTTAAACATCTACCCCTAAGGTTTAGAATTTTTCACATTAGCTAATAATTTAGATTAATTTTATTTACAATATCATACTAATGGTACAAATACATTTTGTGGTATATATAACTAAAAAAGTATCACATACACTTATTAAATTATGAAAAATACAAAAGAAAAATTGTTTTAAGTTATAGTGGTCTTCTAATTATAAACAATTAGTTTAACAAATTTAAGAATTTAAGTTGTGGTAAGTAAATTAATGTAATACGAAACGTTCATAGCATTGCTAATCGATATAAATAAAATGGGTTGTAGTATTGTCAATAGACATAATTAAAGAAGATGTATTAAAACAAAAACATAAAAGAGAAGAAAATGAAAAATCAGGGTTTGATAATATTATCCGAGTTATATTAAAATAAAACTTATACTAAATAAGACTCTAGTGCCTTTATACAATTTCATTTGAAAATTCCGAAACTTGTCCTCAACTAATGAAAATAGATAGATATAAATAAAAATAAGATTAATTATTTTAATAGTTAACTTTTGCCTTTTAAAAGAAAGAATATGAAAGGCTTGGATATGTGTAATATTAATGAAGTTGTATTAATATGAATTCCATATCAATAATGTTAGGATTGTTTTTAATAGGAGAACAAAATTGTCCAACTAAAAGTTTTAACATTAATCAAATCCTATTAATATGAGTTCTACATTAAATAAGGCTAGTATTGTCTTTACATTTTGTTTTAAGAATAAAATAGTCAATCAAAAGTTTTTCTTGATTGTGTACTTTTATTAGTAGTATAGATATAGATGTTATCGTAGTTTTTTAGGAAAGAGATTAGATGGATGGAAGTGAGCTTTTATTTCTAAATAGTTAGGCTAACATTGGTTCAATCTGTGCTAGCTAGTATTCCCACCTATTATTTATTTATTTATTTAAGATATGATGTAACAGTACTAGGAAGATTGATGAAATCTTGATGATAGGGGCTTTGAGGAATTGATATCTTTGCTTGCTATTCTTAATGATTCTTGGTTGACTCTCGAGTATTTTGATAAGAGAAGGTGGGTCTGTGAGTATTCGGGAGTTTTCTCATTTTAATTCTTTTTTTGATTATCTTATTGATAAGTCCTTTTGTCCTTTATTTTTGCCATTGGTCATGATTTGAAAGGCTAAAGTGCCTATTAAAGTGCAAGTGTTTACATGGATTGTTGCACCTGGTAAAATTAATACCATTGATTTGCTTCAAAGAAGGAGACCTCACACTTGTCTCTCACTACATTGGTTTGTCACGTGTAAACTGTAAAGGTGATCACGAGAGCATTAACCATTTGTTTTTACATTGCCTATTGCTTTGTCCTTGTGGTACAAGTTATTTTCTTTGGGGAGTTTGAATTGAGTGTGCCCTGCATCGTCCACATCATTTTTCGTTGAAGAGTTGAAATGTTTTGAGCGAACTGATAAAGGAAAGACTTTGTGAAGTTGTTC